TCTGAAATACAAAATGCCTTTCCTTGTAAGGAACCCAAGACTGAACGCAATGTTCCAAATGTGGCCTAACCAATGACCTGTACAATGAAATAATAACCTCTTTAGACTTGTATCTAATATTTCTGTAGATACAACCTAAAATCTGATCGACTATTACACCAAGATCCGTTCCCTTCGTAACACTGTTAAGGGTATTTCCATGCAAATTATAATTAAAACCCATCTGCCATTTATTTGCCCAACTCACTAAATGATCTAAATCCCTTTGCAAATCAATAGCATCCTCTTCACAGCTAGCCAAGTAAAATTAAGTGATATATTTTTTTTTAAATAAGGACATATGTGTTTGCCTTGATTGTATATAATCATAATCTTGCACATTTTTGTAACTTATTAATATTTTCTTTTAAAAGTTTTATCAGAAGCAGCTAACATTTGACCTCGCTTTGGAAAATAACTGCTCTCAAGTACTTCAGCTAAGAGCTACAGTCTATAGTTACTGGAGGAAAAGAATTTAAACATGGTGCACGATTACGTCGTGATAAAGTATTGTCTGTTTTCACAGTTACCAGATAGTACATATTATTAGGATTATTTCTCCAATTAACCATACAATTAGAAAGAATTAATTGGATCGGGTGTGCTCTAGTGATTAGCGAACCAGGCCGCGCTATGCCACTGAACGCCTCCACGCTCTCAGCTGGGTGGAAGGCATTATAAATATGGCAGTTAAGATCAGCCGCATTGAAGACGGTTAATGCTAACTGATTTCCACCCCTCTTATCAACAGATTCACAGTAGATATGGTTGTGCTTGAACTTGAGAGCTGTCTGACCTGTCCATTTAGTCCATTTGTCACATAAGGTGTTGTTCAGGTTAGAAATACTAAATGCGAAAGAAATGCTTAATCATGCGATATCTTGCTAGGTAATTTTGACTTACGTGTTTCGTAAGAAGGAACAAGAAACGAAGCAGTAAATATATGTGTACGTTATAATGACGACAGAAGAATCCATACAAAAAATGTTCATTTCAAGGCCTTTACATAAACCGTTATGAGGATTCTTATCTTGTTTCGTCAAGAAGCTTTGTTAGCTATAGATTATTTCTTTGAACTGTTACATAAGCTTGAAAAAAAAAATTCAATATAAAAAATATACAAACGAGGTCACGATCAATAATCTTTGTAGCATCTTGTACTCTCGTAATTATTGCTACCTACACAAAGTTTTTCGTGGTTCAATGTTGCGTATAACATGAACGTGAATGATAATCGCACATGTGAAAAATGTGGAAGTAAACATATTGTTGCGTCATCGAGATCACATGACTATTCTCACGCCCTCTAGTTTCTAGAACTATCCCGTACCTTGGCGAATGCTCTAGTATTTACTAGATAGGGTAGGCTGGTATATATAAGAGGGTGACAACGTAACGCAATAATGTGTGTGTGTAGATAGTGAGTAATTGACCTGCAGTCAGAAGTATTATTGACGTTCGTTGATATACCGTTTGTTTTAGCGCGATTGTTGAAAATAAGTGTATCGTAAAGTTGTATTCGGAAAGAATAAACCAGTTTTATTAAGTAAGGACTTGTGTCGCTAAAGTTTCGTCGGAACGAAGTTACGGAAAGTTAATTAACAAACGGAGACGTAACAATATATATTAAATACACATTAACTGAGGTCGGGAGCGACCCATTAACGCAAAAACGCGTTTCCTACTTTGGAACTGTGGGTGTGCTTTCATAGTGATGGTCAAACCCACTTTTTGGTCAGATAAGAATAGCAAAAGCGTTAGCAGTGGCTGTTGACTAGTCTATTAGTTAGAAATTAGGAACGGTTAAGCCTTTGTGCGAAGCTTCTAATAGTTAAAACCTATTAAGTCTTATTTTTATACACGTTGTGCAGATTCATATCTGCTGCCCCCCCCCCCCAGTGACAGAGCGGTAAGTCTGCAGACTTACAACGCTAGAATCCGGGTTTCGATACCCGTGGTGCGTAGAGCACAGCTAGCCCATTGTTTAGCTTTGTGCTTAATTACAAACAAACAAACATATCTGCTACAGTTATTCTCATGAACAATAATTACTCTGCCTTGTGTGATCCTCATGTTCAAAATCAAACAACATTAATTTAAAATAAGAATAAAAGAAAGAATACGAGAGACAAACGAACTAAGTCACAACTTGGAGATTTTCAATATCTGTACAAAAACTTTAATGTTTTTTGTCTTTTCTCCTAGTATTACCGATTGCAAAATTGACCAGTATTTGTTTATCAAACAAGATGACAGTTTTCAAGTCAAAATTTAAAAAAAAAGAAAAAAAAAGAAACGAAATTACTGTAATATTTTCTGTTTACATCGTTTGCTCATAATGCATAAAATATGGATGCTTATTACTCTTCTTCAGAAAAGAACATAGGAAATTTTGTGCTTTAGCCTTAACGTTATGTATCTCTAGATTCTGTCTATAAAATCTGCTTATGTTTGAATTTAGGGCAACGTTATGCTTTCCAAAAAAATTCAAATTTTTCTTTAGCTCCAGTCTTTGTCTAATAATGATAAAAAAGTGTAAGTATTCTTTTTCTTAGTGGTATAAATATGAAAAGTTCAGTGTGTACACTTTTGAAAAGCGTGATTGTCAAAAATGTAAAACTTATTTTAAAATAGCTTTTCAAATAACCCGTTATTCGTCATTATTCACTACTGAGAGAAACAATTCCAAAAAGAAGCGCCCCCCCCCCCCAGTGGCACAGTTGTATGTCTGCGGATTTACAACACTAGAATCCGGGTTTCGATACCCGTGGTGGGCAGAGCACAGATAGCCCATTGTGTAGCTTTGTACTTAATTACAAACAAACAAATCAAAAAGAAGCAAACGTATCCCTATAGATCAACGGAAAATCTACATACTTTCAACGCAAATATTCGGAGTTCGATTCCCTGCGGTGGATGGAGCTCAAGAAGTCCATTGAGTAGCTTTGACCTAAAACAGACCACATTCGCAGTAGCGAACGCTAATTTGAGCTCTTGTAATGTGAACACCTGGTGAGTACGTTCAGCGGATCCCTAGTGTATTTATCTCAAATATTACGATATATATAAACAAAACATAAAGCTAGCGGCATGAATCAATGAATTCAATCTGCGTCTACTTTGCTAAGGCGGTTACCTACTTCTTTTTAGTTGTATATAAATAAATATTTATTCGTGAAAGTATATCACAAAGCGGAGAATAATAAAGCACATCGATTAACAAAAATAAAAATTATACTCTCCTTCCCTTCATCCGGTCATTCTCCTTTCCCAGAGTTCATTCCGCAAAGCTCAGCTTAGAACGAGAGTATCATTCGCTAAGAATCAACACTGAATTACATTGAACAAAATGCCCACCCCCCTTCCGTGGTGGGCAGACTAGAGACAGCCCATCGTGTAGCTTTGTGCTTAACAACAAACAATAACAAAATGTGAAGTGTGATGAATTAGGTGCTAAGCTGAATGTAAATTGAGCTTTAGAGCATATAAATAAAATGATGCAATGTGAGTAATGCTAAGTTGCTTTATTTTTCTGTGCTTATGATATATCACCTTTTTTTTTCCTTTGGCTAAAGCAGAATGTTGTTTTTCCCTTAAGCGTTTTCGAATGGATTTAAAAACACGTTCATATTTTAAAAAAATCATTTAGATATAAATTCTAACAGGACACATTAGTTACTAAAATTAATGTCCCATAGTCGCCAATGTTAAACAGTTGTGCCATATAGACATATAATTGATGTGAAAACATGAGTTAGTCTAAAGTGACAGCTTGGACAAATCGTATGAGGAATCAATTTGCTAAGTTAATCTGACTATATATATATATATATATATATATATATATATATATATATATGTGTGTGTGTTACTAACTAAAGTATTACGTACGTACGTACTATTCTACGACGACGTAACGTACTAAATTAATTAATTACGTCTTCGTTACTTAACTTTAACTTT